GTGTGTGGCGACAAGCTGCGATGTGTCCGTCTCCCGTCTCTGTCGCCTGCCTCTGTCGCGTGCAGCCAAATTGTACCTAAAGTGTATTCGGTGAGGTAGACTGGACTTACTTTCTTTACTACAGTGCCATGGGCTGATTTCATATATTGAACAGCTTTCTGTATGGATTCCTTAATGTCCCGACTTACATCATCAGTTAAAGCACAACCTCCGTCATCTTCCATGTAATAAATCTTTATCGAATCCATATTGATCTATTTAACACAAGAATTCACACAATCAGATAAATGAATAAATTATTCTTAAACTTACACAATTATAACATCCATGTTCGGTACTGTTAATCACATTCGTTTCATAAAATAATAGCGTTGACTGTTTATTACATCTAAATTTTCGTAAATTTTTCTTCTCACGTGTAATCTGCTGAAATTTATACAAGTAGTACACCTATTGGATAATGACGATTAATTTTAAAAAATTTCGTAACATAAATTCTTCATAATAATACTGTCTCATTACATTGTCCAAATGGTGTCATAAAATTTGTTTATTATTTATTTAGTTGTGACCTGTTATTTTAGATGTAAGATATCTACATTTTTTATTCGAGGTTAACAGAATAAGAAATTAAATCCAGTGCTGCCAATTTGTTAACATGGGACTCGCAACAGCAAGATATATTTTATATTTATTTTTCATTATGGAATTTGGAAATACGGCGGGCAAGGTGTATCAGTATTTTAATATTGATGTCTTTCCTGTAAAACGTAATATTTTCTGTGCCTATAACAAAGAAAACGGATAATTAGCCAAAAATTAAGAAAATGCCCCCGAGAGCTATTCCAAGCAGCTGCAGTACAAGACCGATTATTGTATGCAAAGCCCAGTTAAGTTAGTAATGGGTGATAACTGAAACTAACCTACAAGGTTTTCAGGACATTCATTATGGGCCAAAGTAATTGGTATTCGTGTCAGGGTCGAAACAACAAGGTGGTATACAAAACAGGATTGATTGCCTGAGAAGGAAACTAGAATTACGATACATTACGTTGTGTGTTATGTAATCTGTATTTATGCAGTCACAAGGAATGCCCCTGCATTCAAGAAAATTCTTGAACGGACATGAATTTTATACGATGATTCGATGCGAAATCAGTAATGTAAAACAAGTTACTTCATACTGCGATTGTAATATTCGTACTTTGTATTCGAGTACCCCGTTTTTCTGCAATAATAGGCCAGATACTTAATTTTGTACATTACGAGGTGCGATCGGAAAGTTTCAAGACTGCGCCTATAAAAACCCGTACACTTATCTCAGGTATTAAATTCATCCATCACCCTCGAAGTAGTTCCCCTGGGAGTGAACACAACGATCCCAGCGCCGCTGCCAAGCCTGGAAGCATCCCTGGAAATCTTTCTTTGTCAGCCTGTCAAGCACCATCTGCGATTCTGCCTGAATCTCTTCTATCGTCTCAAATCTAATTCCCTTTAGCTGAAATTTCATCTTTGGGAAGAGGAAGAAGTCACACAGAGCT